TTTAGTAAATGTATGCAGCTGTGCAGGATTGCCACAGTCCTGCTCCAGAACATCTCCATCACCCTGCCCATTTGCAGTCAGCCCTGCCTGCCTCTAGCCCCAGACAACCACCAGTCTGCTTTCTGCCCCACAGATGTACTTTTTCTAAAAAATTTCATGTAAAGAGATACTGAGATCTAGTGATCCTGCCTTGTTTTTCATGATTGCCTTTTCCAATATTTGAATTAAGTATCAAAATAAAAAATCTCTGTAATCTGGGGAAAAAAGAGGTGGGGGACAGCATGTGCAAAAATTTCAGAAGTGGGCAACTTGTGACCAGAAGTGCTAAAGGGTGGCTGGTGGCTAAGCGGTGGTGGCCGTGGCGGTGGTCGCGGCAGAAGAGGAGAAGGGACAAGTCAGCATATCGCAAAGGGCCTCCACCTACCTGCTGAGGAATTTTGGACTTTATCCTGAAAAGAAAGGGAACCACTGAAGCTTTCTATCATCTTGTCTTCCTAACTAGATTCTTAAATTCCATGAAATCAAGGTCTGTTATTCATCTTTGTATTCTTTTGTCTGGCCAGGGTCCTGGAATGGGTAGGACAGCGAGTAAGTGTTGATTGATCTCTAAGGCTGTGATAGTCTCTTAAGAGTCTTGCATGCTTGATTCAGCCATATTATTAAAATGGAATGAGTCAGAGCAGAGATACTTTTGGAGTGGAGGGGTGGGGGTCTTATTACACTCTGGGCCTTGTGCCGAGGCACTCCCAGCCATTATCTAATTCAATCTATGTCATTCTTACTCAGAATCTGCCAGTGACCTCTGCTCTTAAGAGAAAGACCAAAGTTCATAGTATCTTTCAAAGCTACTGTTCACTCACTGCCTGTCGTGCTTTTTACCTATTTAGTTCCTATTCATCTCTCAGCTTTCGCTTTGCTTCCTTGGGGGCAGCCTTCATTGCCCTGCCTTTCCCCACAACAGGTGGACTGTCAGAGCTCAGCTTCCTGTGTGATCATATCTTTGTTCATGTGACTGCTGGATTTCCCTTCTCACTCAAAATATGAGCTCTGTGATACTTTTTTGTCCCTTGCACCTAGCACAATGCCTGGCATTTAATAAATACTCACAAAAAAAAATTGGTTGCGTGAATTCGTGAATCCTCAAGAGATCTCTGTCAGATATATATTATCATTCTCATTTTTCAGGTGAAGAGATTGAAGTCCAGAGGTTAAGTCACTTGCACAAGGTTGCATAACCCATGAGAGCCAGACCTGGAACTCAGGACTGGCTGACAACGGCATCCTCCTCTTTCTGCTAATGGACACTCAGTAGGCTGTGAGTGCAGCAGATGGATACATTTTCATACTTGCATCAGTGCCATGATTTTACCTACCTGCTGAATGACCAACAGAATGGACAACCTGGTGGTTGAGAACATGGGCTGTGTAAACAGTCTAGACTCCAGTACCTCCTCCACCATTTACTAGCTTTGTTACCTTGAGCAAGCTACTTAATCTTTCTATGATTCGGTTTCCCGGAGGATGGGGTAACAGTACCCATTTTATAGGATTGTTGTGAAAATAAATTAATTCATACAAAACAGTACTACTGAGCACAAAGAAAGTACTCAATAGTTGTTAGCTATTACCGTTACCAGTATCCATTATTTCTTCCCCATTTTCTTTTTCTGTAAATTTCTTAAATTTTATTATTTTTAAAAAGATTCATTTATTTGAGGTGGGGGAGAGAGAGAAAGAGAGAGAAAGCATGCGGGGGTGGGAGGGTTGGAAGGGCAGAGGGAAAGAATCTTAAGCAGGCTCCATCTTCAGTGTGGAGGCCATCATGGGGCTCATTTCACGGCCCTGAGATCATGACCTGAGCCAAAATCAAAAATCCGATGTTTAACAGACTGAGCCACCCAGGTACCCCGCCTCCATTTTCTTAGTGTAATTCAAAATTAGATCCAATCGCTTCTCGGCCTTTTGCCTACATCAAGTGCAAAATTAGATCCAAAGACCCTATAGCAATTTTTAATTTTTTTATTTTATGGAAATTCTCTTCTTGAGTAAAACCATCTGCTTCTAAGTCCTAGTTCAACTGTGGAGGCATTATTCTACTTGTAACAGCAAAATATAGTAATATTAATACTTATTAATCCTCTTCGCTGTGAATTTCTAGGTTTTAGGATTCACCTGTTTCTTTATACCTCTGCTCAGATAGCACAAACACAGTGTTGTAGTGTAGTAAAAGATGCAACGTGAGTAGTGCTGTTTTCTCTTACAAATAACAAACCTTTTCCCCAAACTAAGCAGCATATTATCGAGCTGTTTGAATAACTGACCTGACCCCCCCACCCCCCCTCCACCACCACCACCAAAAAAACCCCCGTAATTGTTGGGAAGTGATTTATGTCACATTACTTCCCTCATTCATCAATAGGTGAGAGCAGGTATGACTTATAGGAAATTAAAAAAGGAAGAAAGTAAGAAAAATAATCACTTCACATATTTAATAGTTGCATGCCAAAATCTTAACATTTTTAGCATGTTCCCTCATAATGGGATTTTCTGTAAATATCTTTCATTCCTTCCCTGATTGTTCATTGTTAAAATTCTTAACTAGTTTCTCGTGGTTAGGCTGTCATAGTGCATGGGTGTGTGTTTTAGTGACTTAACTGTTTACTTTGCTCTTAAAAGAAAATAGCACCTGATTTATGTCTAAGTGACGAGAGAAATAACAATACTGCAGCCACCCAGCTACCCGCCCTATGCCAAGCATTACCCCATACTTAGTCCATGTTGCTAATCTTCACAATAGCCCTGCAAGTGGAATGATATGCCCATCCTGAAGATGAGGAAGTAGAGGCTTAAGGAGATGAAGAACTTCCCCAGGAAGTTCACACCGTATCAGGCCCTGAGTGGCTGGGCCCTGGAGGTGTAGGTGGTAACAGAATAAGGCAGAAGGGATAACTAGAAGCAAGCCTGGCAAAGTCAGTTGGGGTTTTAAATGGAAGACCTCAAAGGCAAGCTGAGGAATATGTAATTAATTTTGTCGGGGTGTGGAACTAGTGAAGTTTTTTGAACTGGGAGCTCAAAACAGCACAGGAGCTTGATTTTTAAGGCGCTGGTCTTAAAGTGTCCCCGGACCAGCAGCATCAGCAACACTTGGAAACTTTTTAGATACTCAGATTTTCACACTCGCTCCCAGCGGTTCAGTCTTTAAACACTGGGCAATCAATGATTTAAGGAGTCCTCCAGATGATTCTGAGGTTCTCTCAGGTTTAAGTACCGCTGCTTTAATGAATTCTGGGTGTGCCGTAGGGAGGGTTGGAAAGGCAAGAAGAAGCAGTGGGGAGGCTATTGCCCGGAGCTGATGGAGTGGATACAAGAGCATAAATTTGGGTGGTTTCATTGGGAATCAAAAAAGGAAAAATCGTGACACCTTTCACGAAAGAAATGACAGGACTTGATGATAAATGGAGGTAGGAGTATGAGGTGTGAAGCCCATGTCTACTAGTGGCAGAATTACAAGTATATACCAAGGGCATTCAGAGGGGGAACGTGTTTATGCTCCTCAGGGATCGAAACCTCATTGTGCCTTAATTTACGGCATCTTTTTATGTGCCTCACACCCACCAGTCTGCACCCTCAACTAGGTAACTTTCCCTCTAGTAATAAAAATGTACTAGACGCGGGCGCCTGGGTGGCTCAGTTGGTTAAGCAACTGCCTTCGGCTCAGGTCATGATCCTGGAGTCCCAGGATCGAGTCCCGCATCGGGCTCCCTGCTCGGCAGGGAGTCTGTTTCTCCCTCTGACCCTCCCCCCTCTCCTGCTCTCTCTCTCTCATTCTCTCTCTCTCAAATAAATAAATAAATAAATAATCTTAAAAAAAAAAATGTACTAGACGCTCAATGCCAGTAACAGACCAGGGATGATTGAGTTATTAAATGCCAAGAGCTTTTCTCCAAACACTATATATTCATCATCCTATTGTTGTTATTCATTAGTTATGGATGTTTGTAAATTGCCTTCCCTTAGTGTCCAATCTAAGCTGCATTCCACTGTAAAATTAATGTTTCCAGACACTGATCTGAGAGGCTGAGTCTGGGTTCTGGAGTTTGACAGCTGCGGGCTGAAAACCAGCCCCGTCATTACTAGGTGTGTGGTCTGGAGCAAGTTACATACCCAATCTTCCACCTAAATTTCCCCTAGCTGTATTACAATAGGCATTGTTACTACAATGAGGACATAAATAATGAGTGGACTCAGGGTTGTTGTGGGAACTGAGACCATGCCTGCACAACGCTTGGTGCGTAAAGTTCTGAATAAATATTAGTAGGATTTATGGCAATGAAGATGCCATGTGCTTGTTCACAACCTTCATTGGCTCTCCTTGGTCAAGAGAAGAAACTCCTTATTCTGACATTTATGACTTTTCACAACTGGTCACTCCCTACCTCCCAAACCTTTCATGTGACGATTCTTTGCATCATTCAGTGCTTCCGCTAAGCCGGTCGCTGTCCCCCAAACACAGCTCATCTGTTCTCACACCCCCGCCTTTGGTTCCGTTACTCTCCTCCTCTCATCATGTCCAAGTTCTTCAGGTCCAGCCTGATACCCAGTGTTTGTTGAGCCACCCCCAGTGAACCACCATCTGTAATACGAGTAATCCTTCCAAACTCCCGGAGCTTTGATGGCCTTTAATGCTCACCGGACCCTCTACAGCAGAGCACACTGGCTCGGGTGTTCTGTCTGTGCCCAGCCCGCTTTCCCACACCCTTCGGGAGGTGTAGGGTGAATCTTGTCGTCCTTGCTGTGCTCGGTACTCAGCCCCATGCCAGAGACATGCTTTCTTAGCAGTGGCAACACATACCTTGCCTTCTTGGTCTTTTCCAAGTTCACTGAACTATATGTTGGTGCGGTTTTTTTTTTTTCTTCTTTTCCCTAATGATATTGATAACCTCTCCTATAGGAATAACGTTTAATCTATGAAATACTAATTATTATTTTTTTCCCCTCAGGATGAACTTGACCTGACAGACAAACACAGGGAAGCCATGTTTGCACTTCCAGCTGAGAAAAAATGGCAAATATACTGTAGCAAGAAAAAGGTAAGAGATTCGTTGTGTTTATGGTTAACTGGAAAATGATCACTTTTCATGCCCTTTGCTCTCCCTTTTCACCACTGAAATTCAGACAGCTCTTTGTAATGTACAAACCAGATCATGGCCTCGTTGCTACATGCGGCGCAGTGCCAACAGCTTGGATATTGTTTTTATGAACACTTCGTTGGACACCTCCCCATATCCCCCACACCTGTAACCATTATTTGTAATCCTGTGCAACTGAGACCCAATCTGATAGTGGTGTACACAAAAATCAGAGTTTTCCACCTGTTCTTTCCATAAAAGTTGGTATCTCAGTAGATTAGGAGTAGTATTCTGGGGTCTCAATCTTCCTTTCCCATCTCCTAGCACTTTCCATTTCAGTGACTCTAGGGTGTGGCCTTGTCCTCATGGTCCAAGGTATCTCTCTGGCCATTTCATGTTCTAAACTAAGGATGGAGGAAGGGGGAAGAAGGCGACACACTTCCCCACCTCCCCTCTTAGGGACATGTCCCGGGAATCATCCACCTGAATTCCCCTCATACCCCACTGTTAGCTACATGGCCCCACCTGCAAGGAAAGCAGTCTTTATTTTTGGTCCTGTTACCTTTGCAGAAGGGAAGAATGGATATCAGCACTCATGGTGTAGGCATCACCCCATGGACTGTATCTCCTGCAATAAAGTTCACTCTGCCATCTTTTAAACCCTGTGGCAAATTTGCAGACTGTGCCCACCCCATTTTTGGAACCAGTCAAGTTCATGGCCATCTTTTTCCACTTTTTCTTCTGTTCCAGTAGGAACTTGAATCAAGATGGGGTAAATAGGAAGGGCAGTTTAGCACCGAAGGGAAACGTTACCTGTCCCCAAGGCAGTGGACACTCTAGTTACTCACTCCTGCCCCAAGGAAATAGGAACAAACTGTAGCAATCTGATTTCCTTTTAAGACACAGTATCAGTCAGAGAACCCTCTTCTTATGCGACTAGTGCATTTGCCCATGTGACTGTCTCTCAGCCCCACTGCCTCTTTGCTGCCTTGTTTGGTTGCCGTGCCAGCCTTCCAGGAACATCTCTGCCATATCAAGCCTGCATGTACCCCTTTGCAGCCAGACTTGTGCCTCTCTGGGCGAGCCACCATGGCTTAACTCCTCTTTGTAACTCCAGCATCAGATACATTGAAATAAGTGTATGATGAGCGAACCACTAAGTTGTCATTAGTCTTATACTGAACTGTCAAAAAAAAAAAAAAAAAAAAAAATTGAAAGCACAATTAGTTTTCCACCTGAGCAGTTACAACTGATAAAACTACATGTGGGGTTTGGTTCCGGGGGCCTTTGTTGAGAGACATGTCCAGCTGTAACCTCTCCGTGTGGTTTCTGAGCTGCTACCAGATCAGACTAAGTTGTAGTCTTAAGGATTCCTAATCTAGTAGTAACCAGGAAAATGTGTTTGTGAATGACTTTGTCCTCTTTTCTCTTTGTACATGGCTCTCTCTTGTTGAACTCATTGTCATGGCTCAGGAAACAGATGTAATACACTGGGAAAGAATTTTAAAAATAAAAAGGGTTCAGTTCTGAAAGTGATGGAATTGGATGGTCTTGGAAAACAAGGGACCATCTTAAAGACCTAGCCCCTGGTACTGAGAAGGAAAAATCTTCAAGTGCCTGTATGCACATAGGACATTGTCTATTTTGGCTCATCCAAGTGCAGTTTTTTCTCAAAATTAGGAAACAATATGAAGTGAGGATTGAGAATATACACTGGAGGAAAGGAAAGGGCAAGGAAATGGGAGCAGCTTACTGAGGGGAAAGTTTTCTTCTTTCCCAGATTTTATTACACCCTTGACAGCAATTGAAAGTTAATCATGGAAACTACTGCCCCTTAGATTAGAAAAGGCGAACCCTGGAGGATAGTAATGACCTTGGATGTGCAGCTGCTGCTCATTTTTCAATTTCCAGGCCTATCAAATCCCCTTGCAAACCCTGTCTCATGTGCACATGGTGAGGTTGCCATTTTGTCGGAGGATAGATATGGATGTGGCCACTGGCCTCAGAATCCCGTTCCTTGACGGATGGGCCCTTCCTCCTACTACCTGGCCAGACTGCACAGATCCTTGGAAGTGCAGTTCTCCTGCTCGCTTCACTCCTGCGGCCTGGATTCCTTACGTGACCGCCAAGGCATGGCTGAGTGGGAAAGCCATTTTAACTCTTTAGGGATTCCCATGGATTTATACATCTGCCTCACTTTAAAATGGATGCTAGTTGTTGCTAAATTAAGGATTTTCTTGATTAGAGCTTCTCAAAATGTTAAAACTCTGCTCTGTGTTTGGTCTGAAACTGACCTTTTGGGGCGCTGTAATAAATAGGGAAATAATACAGTGAATACGAGAACAAAAACCTAAGTGTGAAAAGGGCATGATGTTTACCTGTCTTCACGTAATGTGATTTCGTAAGGAACAGGTTGCCCGTTCTCAAAATGGAGCCCACGGTGGCCATCTTTATTACGAAGAACAGACTGTTTTCCTTGGACCATATCTTAGGTAGCCTTTTCAAATCAGGCTTGTCACCAGCAAGCCAAACCATATCCATTTCTCAGGCCAAGGGAAAGCTACAGACTCATGGCTTCTTAGATTTTTCCATCTTTCAAGATTAGAACCCAGGGCATTACAGACATTCTCACACATAGTGAAGCCATAGAGTAAGGGCCCATGAAAGCCAACAGAAACAGACCCATGAGTTGGTGAAAAGCAGGCTTTCTGTGTAAAAGTGCACCGCAGTTGTGGAGGCAAACGAGACTGGGAACTGAGGATGGGGCCAGGCCTTCCTCAGCCAAGTGGCTCTTTTCCACCCAATGGTGACTTGAGTCCCGGCAGCGGCTGTCTGCTTATCAAGCTCTGTGCTCGTTTCTCACACTTGCCTCTATCTACATCTCTAGTTGAAAACCCATTTCCAGAGCCAAAATGAAAGCAGTGAAAGTATTTCTGGGGCTAAAAGAATTGGAAAGAAATTAATTGGAGGCTTGCCTAATTGAGTAATCCGGGGGAGAGTGAGAGATGGATGTTGTGGCCTTGTTGAAAGTCCAAACAAATCTGTAAAAACGACTAGACTGGTTGGTCAGCCATGGTTTGTCCTATGCCGCAGTCCACTGTCAAATGTTTTTTAACTTTCATGAAAGGACCACAAAAAGGTCCTGTTGGTGGGGCTGGAGGTATTTTCAAATAGGAAATGTTTGTGGTTCTTATCTTTAAAGGTAATTCCCTTTTTAGTTCCAATCACAACATACTCTTTTGTTTAAGTGAGGTTTTTCCCAGTCCCTAGCCAGAAACTGCATCTGTTAACAATCTTTTGGATTTTAAACTGAAACTTTTTAAACAATGAACCATCTGACCACGAGAGGCATCTGGCCATGCTTTGTTTGCGTATTGTTAACACGATTTTTAAACCCTGGGAAAAGTAAGGAGAGGGCTTCAGGGAGAGAGAGAAGAAACTGCTTTGTACACTGCGTCACGGCGACAACGATCCTGTCGGCACTGGCAGAAACCTTTAATTGCGGCTCTTCGCAGGGGTGATTCGCTCTGGTTGTGTCACTTACCCGGTCCTTATAGGCATCCAGGAAGTACTTGCTCCCCCTCCTTGAGCTTCCGAGCTTACAGAGTAGGTGAATGGTGCTCCCTGTTAGCTGTAGCGTCATCAGGAATTTGAGGCAAAGATCAGGATTTGAGGAGTGCACCAATTGCCCTCCTTTTGTTTCCGATCTCTAAAGCCAAGCTTTGAGTAAATGGCTTTGGATTCTCCATATTGCATTTCTGTATCTTTTCAGTTCTTCTGCAGAGAAGATGAGTTTTTACTCTGCCACCGAGGGTGTGTTTGACTGTTAGGAGATCTGTAAAGAGGCTTAAACTTTTGAAAAAAGAATTCAATCCTTTAAGAATCTCGTCTAACCTGGCTGCGGTGGAGTTGTTGAGATGTGTGCAAAGTACCAGTCTGGTGCTAGGTACATTTTGAAGACATCTAGGAGAAGGGGCTGAAAATTCAGCTGGTACTTTTTCATTCACTCCCTTCATTTGGTTTACATATCCTATTGGATCACTTCCCCACAAAAAGCAATTCTCCTTTCACCACACACACACAAAGATTAAAATTGTATTGTGTACGGTTGTCAGGATGCAGCTCTTTCAGTTCCTTGAGAGTTGAGGTCCTTGTGCCTTTAAAGGAACATATGCTAAAGTGGTGGAATTAAGACAAGAGGGACCATAGGTTTTCTGCACAACTGTCAGACAAACCAGCTGTAAAATGAGGAGGCAAGATGATACGTTCATCCTCTAGTTGTTTCCAGTTTCTTAATGAGAAGCTGCTGTGGATAGGCTGGGACGAGAAGCAGCGGTTTGGTATTGGACCTGGAAGACCTGAGAAGGAAGAGAAGCTAGGTATCCTTTCTTTACTATAATTGTTTAAACATACAGTAGAGTGAGCTTGGATTTTCAAGTGTTCACCTTATTAGCTCTCAAGATTTGGGAGACGGAATCGGTCGAAAGGCAAAAACTACTTTTCAGTAATTGTATTCTAGAGTTCTTAACAAGTACTCAGGTTGGTTTCCTGCCAATGAGTTTTCACCTGATAATGGATTTCAGTTGGCATTTGTACACCCAAGTGCTAAGGGGTTGAAGAAAGTGGCAGAAGTAGAAGTGATCAGAAATAAGACTGCGCTGTCTTTTGCCCTCTACTTCTCTAAAAGAACAAATGAGGGGAGCACAGAAGCTGGAGGACAGTGGGCATCTCCAGGCTCTGCAGGCTCTGAAACTCTCTGCCTTACCTACATATTCCCTGACTCTGACAGATAAGGGTTTGTGTATAACTCCATACTGAACCACTAAGAAACAGCTAGCTTGGAACATCTGGGGCCCAACTCCATGAAGCCATGCAATTGGTGAAGGGCAAAATGGTTTGTGATTCACCTAAGGTGTATTGAGTACTTCTCTAGGGCAGACTCTTGGCTAAATTCTGGGGAT